TATTAAAATATCACAATTGTTGTAAGTTATTCAGCAGCTGCTGAAATAGATATAGCAGTTGCGACAATTTATTCAACAACAACATTCAGCAATTGTTGTAAATTACTGAAATAGTCATATCAGTTGCTGAAAATTATGATACATCAGTGGCAAGAACAATAATACAAAAATCAAATTTTTAATGAATAATACACACAAACAATACTATTAACTTGTTAAAATGATTAAAAATCATCAGTTAAGAAGTAATTTCTAAAGCTTAGACCTTTTCAAATCACATGTTAAATTAAAATTTGAGATTTTCCCTTCTCAAATTCTTCAAATAAGAAATCTACAATAAGCTGCAACACCAATAAAAGAAGAAGAAGAAGAAGAAGAAGCAAAAAAAAATGTGAAAAGAGCGGGATGTTGGGAGAGAACAAAAAAAAACTGATTTGGGGTTTTCCTATTTTAGAAATTAGGGTTTTACTTAAATGTGGGTGAAAGTGTAAAAACAAAAACTTGAGGACTTATTTAATTATTTTTAAAAATTGATTAAAAATTTGTCACCTACACTTAATAATTAAAACTAGAGTCACTCTTTTTACATTTCAACACTTTTTTGTCACCTATAATTCATTCCCCCAAGTTGCCTGACCGACTAGTTCAAACATATTTTTTGTCATTTTCTTACTAACATCAATGATTTTGGTGTCCTATGACCCCCCCCCCCCCCCCCCCCCCCCTTTTCTCTGTATCTTCTCCTCCATACAAATTTTCAATTAGCTAATAGTTTTTTGGAAGGGGCAGTAAAAAGGTTACTACATGGATAATGAAGGAGGAAGAGAGAAAGGGGAAGCAAACAACTCAGTGGTATGTCACTCAACTTTTTTAGTGGAGAGCGTATTTGCTCTTTATCTTATAGTACAAGGGTATATTTGGTCCATTTTCCATTGTTTGATTTGTGTTATTTGAATGTTTTCCGTAGAAGATTAAGTATCCGATAATTTTAAATGAAGTATTAGGTCACATAGATTACACCAATTTTCATAGATAAAGTGTATAACAAGAATTTGTGTTAGATATTCCTAAAGGATATCTCTTCGAATTCACACTAAATACATGTGCACGTGTTAGCTGCCTGTGTAGAGTATATATATATATGTGTGTGTGTGTTCTCTATGAAAACTTGATATAACATTTGGTCATTTGGCAGGAGTCATTTTCTGCTCTTTACAAGGATGTTGTCAACGTTCTGGATTTCATTGAGAGGTTAAAGAATGAAGAAGATAAAAAGACTGTTGAAATGGTTGATCAAATTGAAAATCTGAAATTTGGGATGGCATTTATTTGTACGTACATCCAGCTTTCTTATTCCGATTTGGAGCAATTTGATGAATTAATGTCTATCCAAAGACAAGAGGTTGAAAATATTATTCGATCAATTCTCTGTGATGTTGAGTTTAACGTGGCAATTAAATACAACATACATCATGTCCTTACTCGCCTCAGGGATAATATTGATTATTTTATCAGCTCTCAGAATCGTTCTACATCAAGTGCCACCATGACTGAGGAGCAGATGGACTTCCTCCTCCTGAATCTCCATCACCTATCCAAGTATCTTACTGAACAGACTCAGTATGAGATTCTTCACAATGTGTGTGGCAACATGAAAGATTTCCATGGTTTGATAGTGAATGGGTGCATTGAGCACGAGATTGTTGAATATGTCTTACCTCAGTTTCAACTCATGGCTGAGAGAGTAGGACGCTTCCTTTGGGATGATCAAATTGATGGAGAGTCTCGACACTTCAAGCTAGCACATCTACTCATGAAGATTATTCCAATTGAGCTGGAGGTTGTGAACATATGTTTTACAAATTTGAAAGCTTCAACTTCAGCAAAAGTTGGACACTTCATTAAGAAACTCCTGGAAATCTTTCCTGACATTCTTAGAGAATATCTGATTCATCTACAGGAGCACATGATAAATGTTACTACCACCACTACTTCAGGGGCTCAAAACATTCATGTCATGATAGAGTTCCTATTAATTATTCTTTCTGATATGCACAGGGACTTTATTCATCATGACAAATTATTTGATCTTTTGGCTCGTGTTGGAGAACTTACCAGGGAGGTATCAACTCTTGTTCGCGACTTAGAAGAAAAATTAAGGAATAAAGAGAGTACTGACAAAACAAATTGTGCAACCCTAGACTTGCTGGAAAATATTGAACTCCTCAAGGAAGATCTCAAACATGTTTATCTAACAGTCCCGGACTCATCTCAATGTTGCTTCCCCATGAGTGATGGACCTCTCTTCATGCATCTGCTACACATGCACTTAGATGATTTGCTGAATTCCAATGCTTATTCAATTGCTTTAATAAAGGAAGAAATCAGGTTGGTGAAAGAAGACCTAGAATCCATAAGATCTTTTTTTGTGAATATTGAGCAGGAATGGTACAAAGATCTCTGGGCACGTGTTTTAGATGTGGCATATGAGGCAAAAGATGTCATTGATTCAATAATTGTTCGAGATAATGGTCTCTTACATCTTATTTTCTCACTTCCCATTACCATAATGAAGATCAAGCTTACCAAAGAACAGGTCTCCAATTTACATGAGAAGATTCCCAAGAACAGAGGTCTCCTTGTTGTAAACTCTCCCAAGAAGCTAGTTGAAAGCAAGTCATTACCGGCTGGTAAAATTATTGTAGGTTTTGAGGAGGAGACAATTTGGATAATTGAGAAGCTCACCCGTGGATCGGCAAATCTAGATGTCATTTCGATCACTGGCATGCCGGGTTCAGGTAAAACTACTTTGGCGTACAAAGTATACAATGATAAATCAATTTCTAGTCATTTTGACCTTCGCGCATGGTGCACAGTCAACCAAGAATATGATGAGAAAAATTTGTTGAATAAAATTTTTAATCAAGTTAATGGCTCGGATTCAAAATTGAGTGAGAATATTGATGTTGCTGATAAGCTACGGAAACAACTCTATGGAAAGAGGTATCTTATTGTTTTAGATGACGTGTGGGATACCTCAAAATGGGATGAGTTAACAAGACCTTTTCCAGAAGTTGAGAAAGGAAGTAGAATTATATTGACGACTCGAGAAAAGAAAGTGGCTTTGCATGGAAAGCGCAACACTGATCTTCTTGACCTTCGATTGCTAAAACCAGAAGAAAGTTGGGAGTTATTAGAGAAAAGGGCATTTGGAAACAAGAGCTGCCCTGATGAACTATTGGATGTTGGAATAGAAATAGCCCAAAATTGTAAAGGGCTTCCTTTGGTGGCTGATCTGATTGCTGGAGTCATTGCAGGGAGGGAAAAGAAAAAGGCAGTGTGGCTTGAAGTTCGAAATAATTTGAATTCCTTTATTTTGAACAGTGAAGTGGAAGTGATGAAGGTTATAGAACTAAGTTATGACCATTTATCAGATCAAGTAAAATTGTGCTTGCTTTACATTGCAAGTTATTCGAAGGACACTGGAATGATAATTTCTGGGTTGATAGATTTATGGCATGCTGAAGGACTTGTGGAGCAGACAGAGATGAAGAGTGAGGAAGAAGTGATGAAGGTTTATTTGGATAACTTAATTTCCAGTAGCTTGGTAATTATTTTCAATGAGATTGGTGAGTACCCGACTTGCCAACTTCATGACCTTGTGCATGACTTTTGTTTGATAAAAGCAAGAAAGGAAATGTTGTTTGACCGGATAAGTTCAAGTGCCCCATCTTCTTCTTCAGATTTGATGCCACGTATAGTGACCATTGATTGTAAAAGCAAGTTCTTTGGCCTTGAAAATTTTGTCCTGTTCGGTTCAAATAAGAAAAGGCATTCTGGTAAACACCTGTATTCTTTGAGGATAAATGCAGATAATCTTGACGGCGGTCTTTCTGATACATGTCACCTAAGACACTTGAGGCTTCTTAGAGTGTTGAAACTGGATCACACTTTTAAGGTGAAAGATTCTTTGCTGAATGAATTATGCATGTTGGTTCATTTGAGGTTCTTACGAATTGGGACAGAAGTTAAATCTCTGCCTTCATCTTTCTCAAACCTCCGGAATCTAGAAATCCTCTCGGTGTATAACAACGGATCAACCTTGGTACTATTACCGAGAATTTGGGATCTAGTAAAGTTGCGAATACTGCACATGACTTCTTGTTCTTTCCTTGATATGGATACAGATGAACCAATTCTGATAGCAGAGGACACAAAGTTAGAGAACTTGAGATATTTAGAGAACCTGGTGCTTTCCTATTCGAAAGATGCAGAGGATATTTTCAAAAGGTTTCCCAATCTTCGAATTCTTGTATTCGTTCTCAAGGAATCACGGGATTGTTCAACAAAACGACAGTGGTTCCCAAAATTGGATTTCCTAACTGATCTAGAACGCCTCAGTGTAGAATTTGAAAGTTCAAATGACAGTGAGCCCTCTGTAGGGACAAATTGGCTGTGTAATTTTCACTTCCCTTCAAGTTTGAAAATATTGTCATTAGGTAAATTTCCTCTCTCACCCGATTCATTATCAACATTAGCTAGACTGTCCAACCTTGAAGGGTTGTCCCTTGAGAACACAATCATTCACGGGGGAGAATGGAACATGACGGAGGAAGACACCTTTGAGAATCTCAAATTTTTGGAGTTGGATGAAGTGACACTTTTTAAGTGGGAGATTGGAGAGGAATCATTTCCCGTGCTTGAGAAATTAGAACTGTGGAGATGTCGTATGCTTGAGGAGATTCCGCCAAGTTTTGGGGATATTTGTTCATTGAAAATTATCAAACTTGTAGAGAGCCCTCAACTTATAGATTCTGCTATGAAGATTAAGGAATATGTTGAAGATATCATGGGAGGGGACGAGCTTCAGGTTGTTGGCCGGAACAATGTCCCATTATTTTAAGTAGTTCTTAAGCTGTATGTGTGAAAAGTCTTGAGCTCTCTTACCCTGCGGAAATATGTGAGTATAGATGAATTTATTGCCTACTCTACTTCATTTTATGTCGCGGAGTTTAAATGCACACCGAGTTTGATAAAGGAAAGAATATTTCTGAAACTTCTAGTATTAAACATGGCATGTCATTTTTGTGGCTATAAAAGCATGTCATTAAGGTTAAAATGAGAAGTTTAAAATTAAATTGTTTCCAAACCTAGAAAGGTGTCATTCTTTTTTAAACTTATTTAAAGTAAAAGAGTGTCACATAATTCACAAAATGGAGTAACTTGATTTCTTTGCAGATCACATGTAAAGAAGATGATTACAATTCCCTTTGCCGATACACCTGCACCAACAATCACCATCGATAAGGATTTGGAGTTGAGAAGCTGCTGTATCTAATGATCAAGATGTTTGAATTGGTTTGGCCTCATTTGCAGCAGTAAGTAGTTTTAAAAATCCCCTGTGAATGCATGATGTGCTATCTCAATTTTGTTGTAGGTTAAATCATGCATCCTAGTTATTTCTTTTCCACTTTTGAATAGATTCCCATTTTAATCGTGGCTTCATTTCTGCAGGTGGCAACTTTAAGTCCATTAATGAAGAGAAGTTGTGTTGTAATCAGGCACTCTTACAAATTGTGACAGCTGTGGGTAAGTGTTAGCTTGAACTTCACTTTGTTACAGATTTGCATGTTGATAAGTTCGAGACTCAATACAGTAGCTGTGTTTGTAATAAAATAGAAAAACTTATCATGATCATTTCGTCTAGTTGTAGAAGCAAAAATTTCCTTAGAGGTGAATTTTTTTTGTAATCTTTGCATCTGAATGTGACAGCAGGTGCTAGATTATATTGAACCGAATGTTTCCTTGACAGAGCGAGGCCTTGTAGCTATCTCAGCTGGCTCCACTTGCTTCTATACTTGTGCTACCAAATGATAAATGCCGCCCTGGTTACTATTGCAAGGAACTGTCCTAACTACAAGGGATTGGGACGGTTTTCTCTCTCTCTTGCCTCATCGTGTGTTTCATTACAGCAGCGCCCATGCTAACAAGTTAGAGATACTCTCTGTACCTCCACTAGTGTGTGCTCTCCATTTGTCAAAGCCTTTGCAAGTTGGAGATAATCGGAAACTGCCCCTTGGACAACTAGGCTCTGTTGGTCAGTTGGAGATAATCAGAGACTGCCCCCTTGGGCGACAAGGCTCTGTTGGTCAATGCTGCAAAGCTGGAGACGATGTGATATCTTTTTGGATGTCTTCTTGTTCAGTAAGTTATGGAAGTTGCCATGGGTTGATTGTTGATGGAGATGTGAGTGATTCAAAGTGAAAAAACAATTATTTGGAGTTTTTTTTGAAGTTTGAAATATTCTGGCAAAATTTGGGAGGAGAATTGTAACAATTCATGTCCAAACATGATTTCGGAATACAAATTCACCCGTTGCCAATCAAATTTCTACTCCAAAACAACTTTTTACAATATATATTTCATTGTTGTTACTCGATACAACAAAATGTCCTGTAAATTTTTAGGAACTAGGAAGGTGGGAGTAACAAAGATGATATGTAGGTTTTCCATCTTTTTTTGCCAGCAGGTGGATATGCCACTTTCAGCTAAGTTTGTTGAATTGACTTTCGTTTAAGTAAATATAACTTCACCATACTGTTGTAAAATTCAAGTATAATAAGTTTTTTATTCATTTCTCTTGTACAATCTCTATTACTCTCTCCCTCCTGATAACTTCTCTTTCCCTCAATAGCAATAATATTCTATTTGTTGTAACGCGTTGCCTCATACTTTGATGAGGGTATATTGAAAGAAACAATGAAACGAGCAGGACGTAGACGCTTACCATAGGACAAGAAACATATGTGGCAATGAGTCATCTAAGGAATTTGGCGTAGTAACTCACCTGGAGAAGAGAATAAAATTGTGTTACTTTGTTGTCATGCTAGAACCATGGTTTTTGGTATACTTGAATGTTGAATTGTAAGATCTAACGACATAGGAGCCTTGAGTCACGCTCATAATCTCAATTTTGTTAATACCAAAATGAAAATGTGAATGGACTGGAGTATATGACGAGGAGTTATTCATGGAACTTAATTTGAGTTGACAATTAAGTGGATTGTTTTCGAAAATGTGACGGTCAATATTAAATGTAAACTTTGATAGAGTACATTCGTCTTATTCATATACTAATTAATTTACTCCGTACGTTAACTTTTCTACTAGCTTACGTTGAGGTCCATCAGTTTGTTTGCAACTTTATATTAATTCCATACTTTATCATGCCTTCTCCATTTGAAGTTTTTCAGTTCTTCAATTTTATATAATGTTTGAGCTTTGAATCCATATTTTTCAACTTCCTTAGACGATTGTTGTTAACATTTTCCTAATTAGGTATCCCGACATCTCACTACACCATAATTTTTGAAAGTGCAGAAGATAGGTTGAACTCCAACTCTAGCATCTTACCACTATATATATATATAAAGTTATGATATGGTCATGATGTAGCTTAAACCCAATAAATGTTTGTTTTTTTGGTGTATTATGACCACTACTAGCATGTGTGTCTGTTGTAAATGTTGTGAAGGTATATATAATAGTATGCTATTAAGCCTGTATTGCAGTAGTGTTGTGCTCAATTAACTTAAAACCTAATTGGATTGCTCGATAATTTGGTAACAAATTGAAGTGGCCCTCCAAATCTTAAGGAAACTTTGATGTTTAGTTCTAGGCATGGAAAATATCATCTATATATTCTTTCATTATAGCAGGTAGTTTAGGTGTAAAAACTGATCTCTTGCATTTGCAGGAACAAGTCATGCCCATTGATTGTGTTGGTATATAAGAAATTTGTTGAAACTGAAACATTTTTACATATTTCTAATTTTTAATCTATATAGCGTGACACTTAAATTGAGCATAGTTGACTCTTTTCTCTAATTTTATGTATACAAATAGATCTAAATTGGTTTCCTTTACTTTTGTTTTGGTGTCTAAGAATCAATTAAACTTGTGAAAATGATGACATGAATACCAACTTTTCTTGCTGTAATAAAAATAAAAATGTATGTGCTACTTGATCTCTTCTTTTCAAAACAAATTTTTACTTTGAATATCATTTCTTTGCAACTCTTCAATGATTTACTTTAGTGATCCTGCATAGGCAATTATTTGGTGAATCAAAATGAAATGTTCATAGAAGCCTATATCCAAGAGGCAATAAGAACAAATATTTTTTGGCCTATTACTCATAGAATTGTCCATTACTTTTAGAAATTTCATTAACAATTATTGAGTTTCTTCTCTTTGTTCTTTTCTCTTTCAAATTGTTAAGTTTTTGTTGAAGATCTGTGATAGTATTGTATCATGGTTTATTGTTGTTTCTCTTCTTCGGTGTATACGCCGGTATTTCGTGAGGTTCACCTACTTCTTTAGCTTACTCTTTGTAATCCCTCCTCTTTTGAATTTGTTTTGTTGAAGTTCACTTGTAGAAAGTTTTTATTTTATTTTATATATACATTTAAAGCATTGAGATTTTCCCCTAAGGTTTCATGGTGAGATTCTAATATTGAATTCAATCTCTCATTTCGCAAATGGACCAAATAATTAATAATACTGCAAATATTCAAGAACTTTTTAGAGTTCCAATGGAAGAGAATGAAAACGAGAACAAAGAAGATGCTCATGTCATCTGCGAGTAGCTCATATCAAGAGGTAAGGTATAAAATGTTACGTCCTTAGAAAATAAGAACATTTGAGGTCCGGGAACGTACTTAAAGAAAGTTGGATCTTATAAAGGTGAGTTGTTATGTAGGTCCCTACAAAAGACCTTATGAGAAGACTTTGATATTATATAACTATAAACAATTGCATCATATGGGGTTCACAAGTGGTGCGAGTCTTTTTCTAGATCTGGTTAACCTTTAAAGCTTCATATTACTGAGATGAATTTATCGTGTGTATGTTTCAAGGAAATATGAAGATGGTTAATTAAAGAGCTTTAACGATCTCAAATTGACTGGAAGATTTGTGTATTAGATGGGCAATTTTGTTATTAATTTTTTATGTTATTTTGTTTTGATATGTAAAATGCAATTCACAACAGTTTTATTATATATTTTTGTTTTGATATGTGAATTGCCTACAATCTTAATAAATGCATTCCACAGTGAAAAGTGAAGTATTTTGTTAGACATACTTCAGTAATAATGTATTTGTATATGTGTATATTAGTTTTGTTGCATCTTCCACAAATATGTCAATTTTGAAAGTTATCTCCTTATTTGATGGTTTGTAATTTAATTTCCTTGATCCTATAGTTAAATATGGCTTGAGATTGTTAGTTCTGTCATCTACAGTCCCCTCAGTGTCAAAGAAGATGCCTGATGCAATATATTACTACCTAACACCTAAAATTAACTGTATCCTGAAAATATATAATGTTGGGCCACTACTACCAAACACCTAAAATTAATTGTATCCTGAAAATATATAATGTTTGGCCGTGCTAAGCACGGGCCTCGCCTATCCAGTAGGATTATAATTAGCACATGCGTGTTAGAATTCATCTAGGAATAGGATTGGGTTAATTTCCTCCCACACTATATATATACATTTCTACCAAATAAGACAATTAACCATTAAGGGTGATTTGAGAGAGATTTATTTTTCAAGTTTAATTAATATCAAAGGATAGCGGACGTTGAATTGAAACATTCAAAGTATTGTTGGATTTCAAAAGATCACGGGGATATTATGCATATTTATGAGTGTTTAATGGCTACTTTATGTCCAATACGTTTTCTTTCGATATTTGTCCTTATAGGAATTTCCGGTCAATCATTCAAAATACTTTGTTATTTTGCCATTATACCTTGTTTATGTGTATTTTTGTGCTTTGAATTCTTATGCTCAAGAGTCATCATTTTGAATCAAATTCAATAAGAGAAGAACAAGTTTAGAAGCTTAATTTGTAATGATTTCCTTCTTTGTTGTTACTACTTATCTATCTATCTATATCTATACCATATTAAAAGACTTTTAAAAAAGTTGTTTGGATTTTTTGTCTATTTAAAAGCCTTCACTTTAGATAAAATCATCTTTTCACAACTTTCATTTAATTATAATAATAAGAGCAACTTTCACATATAGCAAACACAAAATTCATATTTGTATGTTATAGCAAAGTTTGCATAATTGCGCTCCATAGCAAACATAAATATGTATATTTCGCTATACATATACAAAAGAAAGCAGTTGTATAATCTGCTTTGGTATACATATACAAAAAGATCAATTGTATAAAGTGAGAGAGGCGAGTGAGCGAGCGAGATCTGGAGAGTGGCGAGCGAGATCTGGGAGAGGGGAGAGAGGGGAACGAAAATATATGTATATATATAATTTTC